GGGGTTCTTTGATATGCTGAATCTATACATGTGTTTAGATTTTTGATTATGGGCCTAGTTTTCAAGTTGGTCCAAGATAGGGTCCAGTATTTAAACTTTGTTTGATTTCAACAAAAATTGAATATATGGGATTCTTTGATATGCTGAATCTAAACATGTATTTAGATTTTTGATTATGGGCCCAGTTTTCAAGTTGGTCCAAATTGGGGTCCAAAATTAAACTTTGTTTGATTTCAACAAAAATTGAATATATGAGGTTCTTTGATATGCTGAATCTAACCATGTATTTAGATTTTTTATTTGTAGGCCCCGCTATCAAATTGGTTCATATTGAGGTCAAAAGGGTCCAAATTAAACTTTGTTTGATTTCATCAAAAATTAAATTATTGGGGTTCTTTGATATGCCAAATCTAACCGTGTTTTTAGATTTTTAATTTGGGTCCTGTTTTTTAAATTGGTCTTCATTGAGGTCCAAAGGGTCCAAAATTAAACTTAGTTTGATTTTAACAAAAATTGAATTCTTGGGGTTCTTTGATATGCTGAATCTAAACATGTGTTTAGATTTTTATACGACTGCAAAAAAATTTTGAGGTCGTATATTGGTATGACGTTGGCGTCGTCGTCGTCGTCGTCGTCGTCCGAATACACAATGGTTTTCGCACTCTAACTTTAGTTTAAGTGAATGGATCTCTATGAAATTTTACCATAAGGTTCAATACCACAATAGGAAGGTTGGGATTGATTTTGGGGGTTATGGTACCAACAGTTAAGGAATTAGGGGCCAAAAAGGGGCCAAAAATAAGCATTTTTGTAACTTCCAGACATAACTTGTGTGTTAGCATATGGATCTCTTTGACATTGTACCACAAGATTCCATATCACAAAGGGTCAATGCTGGGATTGATTTTGGGGTTAATTGCCTCAAAATTTTAGGAATAAGGGGCCAAAAGGGGGCAAAAAACAAGCATTTTTCTAGTTTCATGACAATAACTTGTGTGTAAGTGTATGGATCTTTCTGAAATTTTACTACAAGGTTCCATTTCACAAAGGGAAAGCTGGAATTGAGTGTTGTGGTAATTGCCCAAAACGTTTAGTAATAAGGGGCCTAAAAAGGGGTTTAAAATAAGCATTTTTTAGTTTCTAGACAATAACTTGTGTTCAAGTGTATGGATCTCTCTAAAATTGTATTACAAGGTACCATACCACAAAGGCAAGGCTGTTATTGAGCTTGGTTTGGGGGGAAAGGGGGGTGGGGGTGATGAATCATAAGGGGGGCGGGGTCAAAAAAGGGGTAATTTTTTTTTTCATTTTTTTTTGGTTTAAAATCTACATTTTAAGTTAGTTATTTTTTTATCACGAAGAGAAAGTAGGAATTGAGTTTTGGGGTTAATTGCTCAAACATTTATGAATAAGGGGCCAAATATTGGTCAAAAATAAGGATTTTTTTAGTTTGCAACAAAAACTTGTGTTCAAGTGTATGGATCTCTGTGAAATTGTATTGCAATGTACCATACCACAAATTGAAGGTTGTGATTGAGGTGGGGGATGATGAATCAAAAGGGGGTTGAAAAAATGTGTGGGAGGTAGGATTTTTTTTTTTCATTTTTTTTTCTTTAAAATTTTCCATTTAAAGATGGTTGTTTCAGATTTATATATGAAAGAAAATAATAATGATACGGTTATATATCATGAGGAATTGAAATTTAAAATTATGTATATTGGAAATTTAGGTTACATTGGAATGTAATAATTGGCTTTGGGGGGGGGGTGGTGGTTATGGCTCTAATGTTTAAGGAATAAGGGGAAAAAAGGTTAAAAAACAAGGGTTTCCATTTTAATAGACAAATAATTGAGTAAAGAACATTATTTAAAAGCAGTGTAAGGTTGGTAATTCAAACTCATTTAAATATCTCATCTACACTGCTTTTAAATTATGTAAATTGGAAATTTGCCAATAACTTTATTGTTAATAAATGCATTGGAAATTTGCCAACAATTTTAGTGTAATAAACTTCATTGGAAATTTGCCAATATAAAATTTTGCTGATGAAGGTTTTTTGTTTACCTTAAGCCTTGACTATGAAGTCATTTTCTATTTTTATAGCCTTATGATGTAGTTGAATTATTTAATACTTTTATGATGTGTTTAAATGGGGTTTTATCATGTTTATGGTTGCAAATTTATTGTTTTAGTATAATAAACTCCATTTAAAATTTGCCAATAAAAAAAATTTTTGTTTATTTTTAGCTATGATTATGATGTCATTTTCTATTTTACTTTTATGGTTGCAAAGAAATTTTTATTTTTAGATATTACTGTTAAATGATGCTGATTAAGGTTTTTGCTATGTTTAGCCATGACTATGATGTCATTTTCTATTTTAATATCTGTTATGATGTATTTAAATGGGCTTTTATGGTTCCAAAGGAATTTTATTTTTAGATATTACTATAAAATGTTGCTGATGCTGATTAAGGATTTTGTTTATTTTTAGCCATGACTATGATGTCATTTTCTATTTTAATACCTTTATGATGTAATTTCCATTTTTAGATATTACTGTTAAATGATGCTGATTAAGGGTTTTTTGCTATGTTTAGCCATGACTATGATGTCATTTTCTATTTTAATATCTTTATGATGTATTTAAATGGGCTTTTATGGTTACAAAGGAATTTTATTTTTAGATATTACTTTAAATGTTGCTGATTAAGGATTTTTGTTTATTTTTAGCCATGACTATGATGTCACTTTCTATTTTAATACCTTTATGATGTATTTAAATGGGCTCCCATGTATTTAGATTTTTGATTATTTATACATGTTACCAAATTGGTCCACATTGAACAAAAACGGTCCAAATTTCAACTTTATTACATTACATCAAACATTGAATTCTACATATTCTTTGATATATTGAAATTAACAAACAATTTAGTTTATGGATATTCCACCATAATAGGTAAATTAAATTTTTTCCAGTTCTTACACCACATTCATCCTGTGTCAGAAACCTATGCTGTGTCAAATATTTAATGACAATCCAAAGTCATAGCTGTATCAAGCTTGAATTTTGTGTCCATACTTGCCCCAACTGTTCAGGGTTCGACCTCTGCGGTCGTATCAAGCTGCGCCCCAGCGAAGCATTTTATTGATTATGGGCCCAGTTTTCAAGTTGGTCCAAGTTGGGGTCCAAAATTAAACTGTTTTTGATTTCAACAAAAATTGAATATATGGGGTTCTTTGATATGCTGAATTTAACCATGAATTTAGATTTTTTATTTATGGGCCCCGCTATCAAATTGGTTCATATTGAGGTCAAAAGGGTCCAAATTTAACTTTGTTTGATTTCATCAAAAATTGAATTATTGGGGTTCTTTGATATGCCAAATCTAACCGTGTTTTTAGATTTTTAATTTGGGTCCCGTTTTTTAAATTGGTCTTCATTGAGGTCCAAAGGGTCCAAAATTAAACTTAGTTTGATTTTAACAAAAATTGAATTCTTGGGGTTCTTTGATATGCTGAATCTAAACATGTGTTTAGATTTTTGATTATGGGCCCAGTTTTCAAGTTGGTCCAAGTTGGGGTCCAAAATTAAACTTTTTTTGATTTCAACAAAAATTGAATATATGGGGTTCTTTGATATGCTGAATTTAACCATGAATTTAGATTTTTTATTTATGGGCCCCGCTATCAAATTGGTTCATATTGAGGTCAAAAGGGTCCAAAATTAAACTTTGTTTGATTTCATCAAAAATTGAATTATTGGGGTTCTTTGATATTCCAAATCTGACCGTGTATTTAGATTTTTAATTTTAATTCCCGTTTTTTAAATTGGTCTACATTAAGGTCCAATGGGAATAAAATTAAACTTAGTTTGATTTTAGCAAAAATTGAATTCTTGGGGTTCTTTGATATGCTGAATCTAAACATGTGTTTAGATTTTTGATTATGGGCCCAGTTTTCAAGTATGTCCAAGTTGGGGTCCAAAATTAAACTTTGTTTGATTTTAACAAAAATTAAATATATGGGGTTCTTTGATATGCTGAATCTAACCATGTATTTTGATTTTGGACATTGGACCATAATAGGTAAATTAAAAAAATTCAAGTTCTTAGACCACATTCTTTCTGTGTCAGAAACCTATGCTGTGTCAAATATTTAATAACAATCCAAATTCAGAGCTGTATCAAGCTTGAATGTTGTGTCCATACTTGCCCCAACTGTTCAGGGTTCGACCTCTGCGGTCGTATCAAGCTGCGCCCCAGCGAAGCATTTTATTCTAATCATCTTAATATATATATCCTCGATGATTGGAAGTTCGTTACCCTAACTCTAAACGGAAGAAAAAATTCACAACCTTGGAGCAAATATTATCCACTGCATATGATATATTGTATCAGTTACAATCATCATCTATGTCAATTTTGAATGATAACTACCTTTGAAAGTGCTTTAAGGGACGACAATTTGATATTCTGGTGGGTGCCAGGAAGATTTTTGGTGGATTTGATTATCATTTTCGATCTTTTGCAGCTGTTGCTATGCATGCTAATTTTTTTTCAGTGAAAATTTATTTAACTTTTGTTCACAATTATATCCTGCATTTTGTGTTGCAGAATATTCATTTTCATCCCTGTCTTAGGCAAGTTTATTTATTTTCAGTTTTAATAGTCCAGGATATTCATTTTCAAAACCTCCTGACCCTCACCCCCAGAAAATCAAATTTGTGTATTCTGTCAAGTTTAATTAGGTTTTATCAGGTTGAAAATGGTCTTTCTGTATATTTGTTATAGATGACGTATATATGGCTATTATTGGCATTACTCATAAATAAGTGATGGTGGAGCCTTTAGTTTATATTCTTGGACTTTAATCAGAATCATTTTGTGGAGCCTTTAGTTTATATTCTTGGACTTTAATCAGAATCATTTTGTTGAGCCTTTAGTTTATATTATTGACCTGTGATCAGAATAATTTCATTTGTTGACTTTTCTAGGGATTTAACAGTACCATTAGCAACAGAAAAAGAAGCAGAAATTGTTTATAGAACACTTAGTGTAGACAAAGAACCAAAACGAGGAGGAGTAACAAGGAACATTTGTTTGGATGGAAGCCATCTCAATGTGTAAGTAATAATATCATCAGATCAACTTAGAAAGACATTCTAGTTAGACAAAAGTAAGTCAGAGCAGCTAAGAAAGACATTCTAGTTAGACAAAAGTAAGTCAGATCAGCTAAGAAAGACATTAGATATAGGTCAAGGTGTAAGTAAGCTCAGCTAAGCACAAAGTTAGACACAAGTCAAGGTGTAAGTCAGATCAAGTAAGTCAGATCAGTTAAGAAAGACATTAGACATAAGTCAAGGTGTAATTCTGATCAGCTAAGCAAGAAGTAAGACACAAGTCAAGGTGTAAGTCAGACCAAGTAAATCAGATCAGCATAGAAAGACATTAGACATAAGTCAAGGTGTAAGTCAGATCAACTAAGCAAGAAGTTAGACAAAAGTCAAGGTTTAAGTCAGATCAGCTAAGTAAGAAGTTAGACAAAAGTCAAGGTGTAAGTCAGATCAGCTAAGCAAGAAGTTGAACAAAAGTCAAGGTGTAAGTCAGATCAACTAAGCAAGATGTTAGACAAAAGTCAAGGTGTAAGTCAGATCAGCTTAACACAGAGTTAGACACACAAGTCTAGGTGTAAGTCAGATCAGCTAAGCAAGAAGTTGGACAAAAGTCAAGGTGTAAGTCAGATCAACTAAGCTAGATGTTAGACAAAAGTCAAGGTGTAAAGCAGAGCAAGTAAGCCAGTTCAACTAAGCAAGATATTAGACAAAAATCAAGGTGTAAGTCAGATCAAGTAAGTTAAATCAGCTAAGCAAGAAGTCAAGGTTTGTACATGTGAATCAGATCAACTAAGAAAGACATTTGACAAAAGTCAATGTGCAAGTTGGATCAAGTAAGTCAGATCAGTTAAGCAAGAAGTTAGACACAAGTCAAGGTGTTAGTCAGATCAAGTAAGTCAGATCAGCTAAGAATGAAGTTAGACAAAAGTCAAGGTGTAAATCAGATCAAGTAAGTTAAATCAGCTAAGCACAAAGTTGGACAAAACTCAAGTGAGTCAGATCAGCTAAGCAAAAAGTTAGACAAAAGTCAAGGGTTAAGTCAGATCAGCTAAGCAAGAAGTTAGACAAAAGTCAAGGTGTAAGTCAGATCATCTAAGCACAAAGTTTGACACAAGTCAAGGTGTAAGTCAGATCAAGTCAGTCAGATCAGCTAAGAAAGACATTAGACAAAAGTCAAGGTGTACCGGGGTAAGTCAGATCAGCTAAGCACAAAGTTGGACAAAACTCAAGTGTTAAGTCAGATCAGCTAAGCAAAAAGTTAGACACAAGTCAAGGGTTTAGTCAGATCAGCTAAGCACAAAGTTGGACAAAACTCAAGTGTTAAGTCAGATCAGCTAAGCAAAAAGTTAGACATAACTGAAGGGTTCAGTCAGATCTGCTAAGCAAGAAGTTAGACACAAGTCAAGGTGTAAGTCAGATCAGCTAAGAACGACATGAGACAAAAGTCAAGGTGAAAGTTAGATCAGCTAAGCACAAAGTTAGGCACAAGTCAAGGTGCAAGTAAGATCAGCATAGACAGACATTATACATAAGTCAAGGTGTGTACATGTAAATCAGATCAACTAAGAAAGACGTTAGACACATCTCAAGGCAGGAGAACTAGATAATTCAAATTTATACTTCTGGTATAAAGATGCCTTATGGTAGGTATGAAGTTTTAGCCAGGCTTATGTCAATTGTTTTTGACCCTGGTTGAAATACTGCTTAAAAACCAGTTCCCCTGACCTTGACCTCATTTCATGGATTAGTGACTAATGCCACTTTTTTGTAACAAGGTCATTTTCTCAGATACATTACTATCGCTAATAGATCAAATGTATTAGATGTATCGAAAGATTTTAAGGTGTACATTTCTATTTGGCAAGGTTTATCTGACCTTGAATTCATTTCATGTTTCATCTGTCAATATAAGTTTTCTAGAATAGGTTGGTTACCTAGATTCTGTAACTAACAGGTGAACTATATTTGGTGTATAAAAGAATTATAACATGTGCATGTCAACCTGACAGTATTCATCTGACCTTAACCTCATTTTCATGGTTCATTGGTCAGAACTAAACCTTTCCATAAGTCAGTTTCTTTAAGTAACGAGGCAACTATATTAGGTGTATAAGGTGATTGCACTGTGTACAAGAGAATTTGAAAAATATTTTATTCTGATTAAAGGCGTGAAAGGATATTCACATTTGACATGACAATAAAATCAATAGTTTTAGTTTAAAAAAAATTACATACAATAAAATCAAGTTATGTAGAATTTTATTTTGATTCTGAAGAAAATATTAGCAGCTCAAGCATTTTTTATGCCTGACAAGTTTCATCTGACCTTTACCTAATTTTCACTAATCATTGATGAAGTAAAGTTTATATGATATCTACTGTAAAACTTGATCTTAAGACTTTCAGTATAAAATTGAATCTGGCAGTAAAGCAGACAAGATGTTTCAGCATTCATGTGAAATCTTTCTTTCTTTTTTCAGCCATTTTGAAGCTACAGAAGCCAAGATGATGAGAGTTAGTGTAAACAACTTTTTTGACCATTTTAACCTTGTTGTACAGACAATCGAACAATTTGGACCACCGAACACATGATAAACTCTCATATGAAGTGAAGTGTGAAAGTAAGAAATAACTGATTGAACAAGGAAGGAAGTTGAAGTTTCAAATATATTCTTCGAAGCAGGACTCATTTCTGTTGTTTTGAAGATAGGTTTAGAAGTTTTATTAGAATATGTTCATGTTTACAATGCCAGTAAAAAATGGTTCTTGAATTTGATTCATATGTACATTTTCATAAGTTTCTCTTTAAACACATTTTAACGTGCCATAGGACTGATGAATACATTGTCAGTGATATCTGAATGATGTTTATAGTTTGATTAGATAAATATAATCTTTTACCTTTATCTACAAGTGCAGTTGCTTATTGTTTAGTGTAATCAATATGAGATTTTTATCATACCTGTATTTAAAGTGTGACATACTATGAAGGTTTATTAAAGGTGCAAGTTCCACACCAAGAAAGCCACCTCTCAAAACTCCAAAGAAGAAGTAGAAGAATTATAAATGTTATCTTTGTCAACAAATTGTGGTGAATTTTTCTGAGAGATCCATGATAATATATCATTTATTGTCTCGCCCACAACGAAAGTCGCAGAATGCGAGACAAAGGATTACAATGCGGCAACAGAGTTCACTATTTGTTTAAAGCTTCTTATTTCAGAAGGAAGAAGACCTGGATGCTTCATACCATGTATACAGATACCTAATGTTACGAAGTTTCCATCTGTCATATGTCTATTGTCCTTGACCTCATTTTCATGGTTCAGTGACTGCTTGAAAAAATGACTTTCTTTTTGTCAAGTGAAATACTCAATTATTATGAGTTATAGGATAATTATATTTGGTATATGGATTCCTTGCAACGTCTACATATAAATAAGAAGATGGGGTATGAGTGCCAATGAGACAACTCTCCATCCAAGTCACAATGTATAAAAAGTTAACAATTATAGGTCAAAGTATGGCCTTCAACACGGAGCCTTGGCTCACACCGAACAGCAAGCTATAAAGGGCCCTAAAATGACTAGTGTAAACCAATTCAAACAGGAAAACCAACAGTCTAATCTATATAAAAAAATGAAAAACAAAAACACTTATGAACCACACCAACAAACGACAACCACTAAATAACAGGCTCCTGACTGTCCATCTGGAAGGGTTCACCTGACCTTGACCCCATTTCATGGATCAGTGATCAAGGTTGAAGTTACATGGTCAACTATATATGGTGAATGAAATGATTGTAAGGTGTACATGTCTGACTGGCAGGTTTCATCTGATTTTTATCTCAATTTCATGGTTCATTGGACAATGTTTAGTTTTTGTGGTTTGGTCCATTTCTTAGATACTATAAGCAATAGGGCCACTATATTTGGTGTATGGAATGACTGAAAGGTGTACATGTCCGTCTGGCAGGTTTCATCTGACCTTGACCTCATTTTCATGGTTTATTGGACCATGTTAGTTTTTATACGACCGCATATTGGTCGTATATTGGTATCACGTTGTTGTCGTTGCCGAAGACAGTTGGTTTCCGGACAATAACTTTAGTATAAGTAAATAGATATCTATGAAATTTAAACACTATGTTTATAACCACAAAAGGAAGATCGGGATTGATTTTGGGGATTATGGTCCCAACAGTTTAGGAATTAGGGGCAAAAAAGGGGGCCCAAATAAGCATTTTTGTAGTTTCTAGACAATAACTTGTGTTTAAGTGTATGAATCTCTCTGAAATTATACCACAAGTTTCCATACCACAAAGGGATGGTTAGGATTGACTTTGGGGGGGTTATGGCTCAAACCATTTAGGAATTAGGGGCAAAAAAAGGGGAAAAAAAAGGGTTTCCTGGTTAATGGACAATTTTAAAGCAGTGTAAGGGAGGTAATCCAATCATATTTAATATACAATGTTGTGTATGTTTTGGATTACCTCCCTTATACTGCTTGTAAATTATGTATAAGAAATGCTGTATTGTCTTGAGGTGATTATCTGTCAATTTATTTTTAATGTTACAGTAATTAATATTAATTTTAGCCTTGAATATGTATGTCATTTTCTATTTTAAGACTTTTATGATGTATTTTAATGGGTAGTTATGGTTGCAAACTCCATTAGAAATTTGAATTGAGATTATGACCTTATCTTGAGGGAAAGAATTTTTTTTGGAAAAAAGGGAAAGGGGGAATGAAAAACTAAATTTGGGGGGGGGGGGGATATGAAGTTGTGGGTGGGGGACAATTTTTCTCATTTCAGATTTCAGAAATTAAAAAGAAAAATTTCTTCAAATATTATTTTTTTTTGCAAAAAAAAGATGGGAAGGGAGGGGGGGTCAATACACAACAGTATAGTGTATTGCACAAAAGCATAAACTGAATATAAATTCAAATCATATTACCAATTCTAAGTTCTTTGACTACAGTTATTCTGTGTCGGAAACCTATTGTGTGTCAGATATTTTATTACAATCCAAATTCAGACCTGTAAAAAGCCCGAATATTATGTTCATTTTTGCCCCAACTTTTCAGGGTCGTATCCAGCTGGGCTCAGCGAAGCAATTTATTTTGGTTTGGTTTATCCTCAGATATTATAAGCAGTAGGTCAAGTATATTTGGTGTATGGAAATATTGTAAGGTGCACATGTCTGTTTGGCAGGGTTCATATGACCTTGACCTCATTTTCATGGTTCATTGGACAATGATAGGTTTTACATAATTTTGACAGTTTATCAGATACTATAGGCATTAGGTCAACTATATTTGGTGAATGGAATGATTATAAGGTGTACATGTCTTTTGGCAAGGTTTATATGACCTTGATCTCATTTTCATGGTTCATTGGTCATTGTTAAGATTTTGTGGTTTGATCTGTTTTTGGAAAATGACGCTATCAGCGGCATGTTTCCGATACCATTGACCAGAACTTACGGAAGTCGATTATTGCCTCCGCCTACCGCACTCGGTTTCATATTTACTATTTTACATACTAACTGGAATCTGCTTGTATTACGCTACACTCGAACAAAGTGTTGTAGTCGGACGGGAACCAGTTTACATACTTTATTTTATTTACCAAAAAGATATCTTGACCTGTCCATATGTTTTTTTGTTATTAAATGGTATTTGGAGCTATCCCTTTGTTATATTTTTCATATTTATTCGAGCTTTCACTTTTATGCACATGTCTTACAATCGTAAACAATCGGTATGTATACATGATAAATAGATCCGTTTTGATATGGTGTTGGACTTTTTACCCTCCAATGATCAGCAATTGCTAGACAAAATAGTTCTCCTAAATAATGTCAGCCTTTCATGCCATTTCAACTTTACAATCATTAAAAAAAAGTGAAAATCAGAATCATTTTGATATCCATTGGATAGAAACTGGTCTTTATCCAGATTTACGAAGATTTTAAAAATCGGAAATTAGTAATACGGTTATAACCACGCGGTGCGAATGAATCTTTGTTAACAAAACAGGATTTCGGAACGTCTCTAGTTTTGAGATTGTAAGTCACGATAAACTCAAACTGAAAGTAAACAGTTGTTTGTAAGACGCAGGTTTACTCACCATAAACAAGCTGAAACGTTCAGTATAGCATATATTTTAGGTTAAAGACGGTCCCATTCATTTAAAAAGCATTTTGAAAGTAGACGATGGGATTATTTCAGGTTTGGGGAACGAGTAAATTATCACAAAGTTCATTTCTTGACGACCTCATAATTTCATCATGTCGATGGTACAAATCGATTTTTACTGTTTACTGTCGCTTCTCATGTTTTGTATTTAAACGGTCGTTTATTTTTAAACCCGAACCAGGCATTCTGTAATTAAGCTTCGTTCTTTTTCAATTGGCTTATGGATAGTTGTATCAATTTCAACTCTTATATTATTTTTTTTTTAAATATATTTGCATTACACATGCAATAGCAATACCTTTCCAATTACTATTTATGTGTTGTGTCTAAATTAAAGTTGTAACACTTTATAGTGACTGGAAAGGGTAGAAAAATTCATCAGATTAGAAAAGGCTGAAGATACTTCAAACGGCACCGAATCATTAGATATTGCATCTTATAAAAAGAAACTGAGATTTGGATAGTTCCACTTCAAGGTAAAAATGTTTATCTCTTGTGAAATGAAATAAAAAAAATATTGTAACACTGTAGTTAATTAATAAAGATACTATTACGTGTATTTCTGTATTGGCCTTATTATTGGTTCTCGGCCAGCAGTCAAACGGCACCAAATCATTAGATATTGCATCTTATAAAAGGAAACTGAGATTTGGATAGTTCCTCTTCAAGGTAAAAATGTTTATCTCTTGTGAAATGAAATAAAAAAAATATTGTAACACTGTAGTTAATTAATAAAGATACTATTACGTGTATTTCTGTATTGGCCTTATTATTGGTCCTCGGCCAGCAGTATTGGCCTTCCGCTTCGCCTCAGACCAATACACCCAATGCAAGCCATGGACCAATAACAAGGCCAATACAGAAATACTTACGCAATGATATTATAGAATGACAGTATGGTTCAATAACGGGAATCAGCCCCTCAACTACTTTTTACATAAATATTAACTTCTGGCTTCAACGCTTTGTTCGTCTTGTCTAGAGATCTTGCTGTAGTTCCAGTTCAGCAAGCATTTTAGAGACGTATCCCGTCCATCCTCTTTTGACTTGTAATCTCTGGTGATAGATTTTGCCGCTTGACATTGTATCCTTTCAAGCTTGTTTTTTTTTTTTGTTACCGTGTAGGGGTCCCATACTATGGCTCCATATTAAATTATAAGATCCATTCCTAAAGATCTAGATCATTGTTCTAATCTGACACAAATTTCAATAACTGGAATGCTACCCAAGTTGAATATATGGTGACCCACGAGAACAGCATTATCACTATTGAAATTGTGTTTAATACCATGATTGTTCAATGTCATTAACTTAAATGGAGACAGACATTTGACCTGAAAGACATGAAAGGTGGTGTGGGAGTGCAAAATCAAAAACTAACTGACTATGATATATGGTTAAAGAATGAATATCAATTACATGGGTCAACATGGTCAAGGGCAGAGTTGTTATAAAATAACAATATGGCAGAGAAGTGGTTTCAAGTTTCATATAAAGCGACCTGACTGACATGAAATAAAAAATCGAAGGAGTATCCCTATTTATCTAATCTTCAATCTGAAATAAAACTAGTAAAACAATATTATACTATTGTCTAAATATACAGAAATATAATTTGCTTCAAGTAACAGAAATAACTAGGTCACTAGTAACTTATTTAATGAGTATGTGGGGTATAAGAGCTTGCTTACAACAGGCTCTTCATAATC